ATTTCCTGCCCTTACCGGCAGCACCCATGACAAGATAATTGGATTTCCAATATCCAGCTAGGGATAGTGGTGGGGAACTGGGGTAGGGACACACTGATTGCCCAGGGCAAACTCCTGGTTAAACAAACAAAAAAATGGTTTACAGGCTTCCAATGTAGGGAAGAATAGTGGGGAGTAGGAATCTGAAGAGCCAGTGAGGGTCTTGATGTTGCTAAGGTGATCAGTTGGAATCTCTGTCTCTGCAGTGGGCCAGACTCTTTGCCTAGTGAACACAGGCCTTTGTCCTGCAAGAAAGGCTGAAGGCCATCAGCCACAGTTAGCAACCAGCAAAACAGCAACAACAAAACAAGACAGCCAACTTTCCCTAATGTTTGTAGATGAACCCCAGGCTGAAACCACAGCTAGCACACAGACTTTGGAGGACTGTGTGGAGCTTGCTTGGCAGAGAGAATTGGTCACCTCAGTCCATGGTGATTTTGATTCAGCGTGTCAAAGAGCCAGGCCCTCCATGGAGAATCAGAGGAACTGAGCTCTCGAAGTCACTATGTGTGCCTGACTTACCCACACTCTCTGTCACCAGTTAATGAGAACGAAAATGACTTGACTGTTTATGGAAACTGAGTCATGAGAGAGAGAGGACTCCCTGGACCTGTGGGCTCTGCAGCTGCATGCAAGTCTGGTTGGCTACAACTCTGAGCTTTGCTGCTGGAATCTCTCTCTCCCTTTTCCTCTCTCTCGTGTGTGTGTGTGGGGGAGGGGCAGGCGGTACACACTACAAAGTGTATATGGCTTCAAAGGATGACTTTTGGGAGTTGGCTCTCTCCTTCCACCATATGGGCACTGGGATTGAACTCAGGTAGTAAGGACTGGGCACAAATGGACAAATGCCTTTACCCACTAAGCCATCATCCCCAGTCCCAACACAGACCTTGTTTTTGAGATCTAGTGTTCCACTGGCATGGAACTTGGCAAGACAGCTAGACTGGTCAGTAAATCTCAGGGATCTGCTTGTCTCTGCCTAAAACCGGAATTACAAGTGTATCATACCTCCTTTTTTATTGTTACTTTTAATAATGTGGATTCTGGGGGGCTGGAGAGATAGCTCAGAGGTTAAGAGCGCTGACTGCTCTTCCAGAGGTCCTGAGTTCAATTCCCAGCAACCGCATGGTGGCTAACAACCATCTGTAATGAGATTTAGTGCCCTCTTCTGGCCAGAAATCAGACAGACAGACAGAGCACTATACTTAATAAATAAATCTTTAAAAAAAATAATGTGGATTCTGGGGTGTTGAGCTCAGGTCCTCATGCTTACAAGACAAACACTTTACTGACTATTCCATCTCCCCGTGGGGTAGGAGTTCCCTCTGTTTGTGTGTTGCTTTCATTGGATAATGAATAAAGAAACTGCTTTGGCCTAGTTGATAGGGCAGAACTTTGGTAGGCAAAGAAGACAACTGAGAAAGAGACCAGAGTCAGAGAGCCGCACATTCCAGCATGGTGGAGCTGCCTGAGTCTCTGAGCCATGCACACCGACCAACTTCCAGGCACACAGCTGGTCCGAGTTGCCATCAAGCAAGCCGCATGCAGCACGGTGCTCACAACCCCCATCCAAGTGCTTGGTCTCCCGAAAGAGACAGAGGTCACGCTAGCAGCATAGCCCAGTTTTTTCCTGTTGCGGCTGATGAATCAGGAAAATCTCTCCGCGGCAGGTGCCAGCAAACAGCAAAAAGCTGTGTTAAACTCTATATTTGTGTCTAGAATTCCTTTCCAAGCCCTCTTAGGTTTTATGTGGAGTTAGTTGACCACGTTGAAGCGCCAAGTATTGACGTAAGTCACAAAACAATCCCACACCAGTTTGGAATTATGATCAATAAAAGGGTTATTTATTTAAGGGGGAAACTTACAGATCGCTGTCCTAGACAACACCCCTCTGTGCGACCAGGAACAGAGTCTAGTAGCCGGAAGCAAGAGAGAGAACAGGGCTACTTATAAAGCAAAAGAGACCACGCCAAGATGGGCTGGTATCTTAAAGGCTATTGGCTGAAGGAGCTTCTGCAGCACCCACAGACCATTATTGGGTCTTACTGATAGTGAATGTGGCATATTCCCAGGCCACCTTAAAGCATAGATAGGTATCCTCCCATCAAAGAAGTCTACGTTTTGTTGCTTACCCACCCCAAGAAGTTAAATTTGTTCCTAGAGTTTTGTGTTGTATGCCTGGTTCCTATGCTGGGCAGGATCTGCTTTTTACATAGGATGTTCTAAGTGTCTACTGCCCATCCATGCAGGGACACTAATGATTTTCCTGCCTCCCCCACCTGCTGGAGACAAGGTCTTTTATGTAACCTAACTTTTGGCTCTCCGTTTCAGCCTCCTGAGTGCTGGGATTATAGTCACGTGCCCTGTTTCCTGCCTATGTTCCTCATTATTATTTTTAGTGGTAATGAGACAGAAATTGCTGTTAACTTCCACAGTTGAACCATACAACTGTGATTCCCAGTGTGCTCCTTGTCTTCCTTAAGTGAGAGTATGCTGAGGCAGGTGGATGGTATATAAGGAGAACTTGCCTATAGCTACTCTTTCAATGGTTGCTGTCATAGGCTTGGCTGTGGCTAGAATGATGGAGTCCTCTGGCCATCACTGCCTGTTGGGGACCATATGGTCAGGGATAACTGGGAAGCCTGAGCAAGTAGCTTAGGGCCGGGCCATTCATTCACCTACCGAAGCCCATCTGCCCATGACTGCTGGGTCCAAGTGGCTAGCAGCTGGACTATACAGCTCTGGTCAGTTCTTGCCTCATTATCTTTTCCCCCCTTGTTTTGAGACAGGGCCTCACGTCATTCAGGCTGGTATCAAAATTGCTAATAGCTGAGGATGACTCTGAAGTCCTGACTTTTGCTGCTCAAGGTCAGGGATGACAGCCACACACCACCACTCCTGGTACATATGGTGCTGAGGACCAAACCCAGGGTTTTCTGCGCATTAAGGAATTACAGCAGAACTGTCTCAGTCTCATTTCCGTGGGTGTTTATCCAGCATCACTTTGCAGGGTTCGTTCTTCCTGTGAAGCAGGTGAAAGCACCTGCCGCTGGTTGCTTATTACCTACCAGAGAGGCAGACAAAACACATAGTAACAAATCAGTAAGTAACATAGTCATTTACAAAGTTAAATGCCAAGGAAACACACAAGTTCAGGGGAAGGGACTGAAAGGATCAGGTGTGCAGGGAGGGAACAGATGGAGGTGGTCAGAGAAGGTGGCTCCATAGCACATCCCAGAAAGTGTAAAGCCCTGGGTTTGGTTTCTGGGATTGCAAAAAGAGGATTTGTATGAACCAAGATGTGTGGGGGGGGGAATTAGGTGAGCAGCCAAGTGGATCCTAGGCAGACTGATCAACCAGTGTTGAGGTCCTAGGAGAGGGGATTGGTGTTTCCTGAGCCCTCATGCAGTGATTGGCCCAGGCCAGCAGGCTAAAGCCACTGATACTGAGACTGGTGGGAGGGGCCATTAGTGCAGATCCGGCTATTAAGGGACTTGGGAGGACTTGAGTTTAGATCTTTGGGGCTCTTTCTAGTCGTGAGCCTCATGGGGGCTGATGTCCAGGGGTGGTGCTTGTGGAGCACATTTTAGGAATTTTGAAATACATTTAATTTTAGTCGTGAATTATATAAGACAATCTCACTCATAACAATCAACCCCTACTTTCTAAGAAGAAACCATGTAAAAAAAAAAAAAGAAGAAGAAACCATGTAGCTGGGCTAAACAATTAGGTGTGAAAGCTTCCGTGTAATCCACTTCACACGATTCCAGACACATTTTTAAAACAAACCAGACTGTGGGCAGTATCCCACGTTTTTGCCTTTTCACTTTTTTGCCCTGGATGTTTCCCCTCCTCCAGACAGCTGATGTCTTCGTTCTTTGTGACAGGAATAATGTTGCCCAGTTGCGTGACATCCAGGTGGTTTCCAGAAACTTGCACAACAGACTTACTCCACAAGGAACTGTGTCCGTGTGCAACAGGAAACGCACCACTTGGCTACTGAAAAAATAAAACCAAATCGCAACCTGTCGGAAGATGCTCCTGCACCCTTACCACGGGATCCAAGCCTGTACTGTAGTCCAGGGCTGCGTACAGGGGACGTGCCAGGCTGGACCCTACCTGCTGGACAGGTGAATGCGGGTGCAGGTGGCACCCAGTGTGGCGGAACCGACCCCTTAGTGTTCCAGAAACCTGACCCAGTGGCTGGGTCATGTCCATAGATTTGGTGTCAATTGACCTCCTGCCCCACTGACCTAGGATTGCCAGGAAGCACCCCTCCCCCGCAGAGAGAGCCTCTGTAGCACTAGCCGGGGTCATTCTTCCTGGTCTTCGACCCTTAGAGTCCCCAACACTTTCAAAGGACTGGAACCCTGGACCTTCAAGACGGCTGGCCGATTCCACTGCTCTTAACAGTGTGTTCTGTTGCCCTCTATCCCGGGTTGGCAGGAATCTGGGGACGCAGAAAGAGGCTGGGTGCTTTTGTGTCCTTCCTGCCTTCAGTTCACCGTTGTCCTGGTTTGCTTTCGATTGCTGCAATAAAACACTGACCAAAACCAACTTGAGGGCGGGAAAGGTTTATTTCTTCTTATACCTTACATTCTATCGCCAAGGGAAGCCAACGCGGAGACTGAAGCGGAGATCCGCCAGGAAGGCTGCTTGCTGGCTGCTTGCTGGCTTTCTTCCTCGGGCTTGCTCAAGGATCTTTCTTACACAGATCAGGGCCACCTGCCTAGGGAAAATGTACCTACAGACGTGCCCAGAGCCTTGTCTGCTGGAGGCAGCTCCTCACGTGTGGTTTCTTCTTTCCAGGTGACTCTAGTTTGTGAACGTTGACCAAAAACTAATCAACGCACTCAGGGAGAAAGACAAAAATAACCACATCAGAGGCAGGGGTAGGCTGGGGAAGACGTGGGGGGGGGGGCAGGGGGAGTGGGGTCAGTCAGGAGAAGTTGTGGTGAGGAAGAAGGGTATGTCCTGGCAGCAGTTCCTACGCGGAGGTTTCAGCTCTGAGTCACACTGCGACTCTGGGATTGACCTGAGCGAGAAGGGTGCCTTTTGGACCCTGTGGGCTTAGCTGGTAATCTGCTTTGCCCTACTTCCTTCCTTTCTTGCAGAGGGAGACTGATTCTCACTCCGTAGCCCTTCCCATCACTCTCGGTTGCCGGATCTACTACCTTAAAAACTCAAGAAAGGAGGAAACACAAAGGTCACCAATCCGACCGGCTCACAGTGTCAAATCCTACTTACCTGCCTGTTTTCCCTGACAGGGTTGCAACTTTCCACTACCAACAGTATGTCCAGTTTGAACTGTGGTTGGAAAGCTGATGCAGCCACCAGCTGGATAGCTCTGGCCTGTGCACTACCTCCCCTGACTTTTCCTGTAAAGGGCCCCGGGGAGTAGCTCAGTAGGCAAGTGTAGTGGGGGAGCCTCTGGTCTCTGCAGCTCCTGCTCCTCTCTGAGCCAATCAGAGGTGGCTCCCTCAAAGAAGAAGCCAGGATGCGCCTAGTAAGGCACAAAGGCAATTTTGCTTGTGGTAATAAGGACGTGACAACAAAGATATCAACAACAACCCCCAAACAGCCCCCTAGAGAGGCAGATCTGTAAGTGTAAGCAGAACTTCAGAATTTGCTCTAGGGAAAGCGGAAATGATGTCAGCTTTATGGGCTTGAACTCTAAGATAACAACCCTTCCATTGCCTCTACTGGATGTCATTTTGTTCTCTATCTTGGAGCCAAAACAGACAGGAGGGAATTTTGTTTGTTTGTTTGTTTCTGTTTCCTTTTGTTTTTCCTTCCACAAGGCACTTTAAAAAGGAGTGTCTGAGTCTTCCAGGTGTCCTCACATGAGGAGAAAGGCCCTCTACAGTGAAGCAGAGGCAGTGTGGAGTTGGACAGCGCAGAAGCTTCTGAAAGTTCCAGAGGTCTCTGTTTGACACTGGCTCAAGCATGGAATTAGTAGGCAAAGCCCCTCCCCTCCCCCTCTGCTTATCTGCAGGGGAGGGATCAACTCTCAGCTGGCCAGGCCAGTGTCACTGATACAGCTGGTGTCATCGTTACCTTCCACTAACAGATCACTCGACACCTACTGGCCCAGGCAGGGTTGGGTCTGAGTAGAGGTAAGGACCCTTATTGTCCCAGAACCTCAGATGAAGCCACTCAGCAAGGCATGGCAGAAATGCAATGACCAGCAAGCAACCTAGGACTAGATTGCTTCCTGCCTCCAGTTCCTCTCTCAGTGCCTCAGTTATCGCTGCTTAGTTCTATATTGCTGTCCCAGCAAAGATGCTATATAAGGAAAGGACACCTGGAGTGGCCCCAAAGTGAGGACCCAGAACAGAAGTTTGACTCAGGCATCGGCCTGGATTGGGAAATCTACCTGGCCTTGCAGTTTTGACTGGCGGTGCTCCCGTGTGCATCCCCTCCAGCAGCATGCTGCAGCAGATCCTGCATGACATGTACATCGACCCGGAGCTTCTGGCTGAGCTCAGTGATGTGCAAAAGCACATCCTCTTCTACAAGATGAGAGAGGAGCAGCTTCGGCGCTGGAGGGAGCGGGAGGCATGGGACACCCTGGCCCAGGCAGAAGGCCTCAGGCCTGCAAAGGTCAAGCGAGGTATGTGGTTTGGAGTCACCCAGGAGGTAAAACTGTTAATGAGTTCAGGCTGAGTTCTTTTATATGGTCACTAATGTTATAAAAGACGAGGGATTTGAAACTCTTAAGCTGGGGGCTCTGATTCCACTTAGCTTGGGTTTTTATCTTCCAACCAGGAGTATAGATGAATGATGTGGCCAGGATTATGCCGGACCCAGATGGGCTGGGGAAATGGGAACTTGTTTTGTCTTGTTGTATACGGCTCACATTCTGAGACAACACCACTGAAACCATGCTCAGATAGTTGGCAATTACATGACAGATAATAAACAACAGTCTTTCTGTCATTCTTTTTCTGATTCTAGACATTGAATCTAAGACCTTCTGCATGCTAAGTAGACACTCTGCCATTAAGATGCATGCCCAGACCAAGGACGTATTCTGCCTCGCTACCAGTTTTAGGCATAGTGCTTTGAAGATATGTATGTCCTTCTTCCCTGCCATGTAGACTCTGGATCTCACTTCAGGCCTGTGCTCTGCATCCTGCCTCTCTGTGCATGTTAAAGGATGCTGTGGTTATATTTGGAGGTTCATTGCTCATCTGGCAGAAGGATTTAAGGAAATTTCCTTGGACAACTATTCATCATCTCCAAATGGCATTAGTAACTTCAGGCAAGAAGCAAGGGCCCAACCTATCTTCCAGGTGATTTATATTCCAAGTCATTTGTCAGTCAAAGCCATAGACAGATGCTGAATGACCTGCTTGTGACCTCTAGCTAGCCTCAGACAGGATGTAGGATCCTGTTGTGGAGAGTACCTTTTGTGTATGTTGCACTTGCTTTGCGGTCAGTTTGGATGCATTACTAGCAAATTCTGAGTTACCAATAAAATGTTGGTGTTGTACGCATTAAGGACAGCAATTTTCCTTGGTGTCATTTGATCAAGACTAAGCCCAGATTCAATGTGCTACTTCAGTCTCACTATAGCTTCCATCGTCTTCTGTCTGTTGGATGAGTCTGTATATGTGCCTGATAAGGCTGTCTTGTGAATCTGTCTGTCCCTGTCTCACCCCCTCTGTCCCTAACAAGGGGTTTTCCTCTCTCCTTTATTGAACAGTACAGAAAGCATCATTTGGGGGGAAGGGATGAAGGGTGCTTTACAGAAATCTTTAACACAGTTTTATGAGAGATTAAATCACTGATCACCACTGACCCCAAGTAACCCAGATAATAAAGAGTACTATAAACACCATTGTTTACCAAGCAATATTTGTATGCTTCATTCAATATTTATGGCAGATAGTCCTTTTCTAGGATTGTTTTCATTTAATATTTGCTGGTTTGCAAGTGATTATTATGACACATGTACCAAACACATGCATTACTCTTGAGTGAGAGGCATGGGAGCTACCTTGTATGACCTTGCTTGGCTCCTGGCCCTTGCCTCAACAGTATTCCCCATGCTGATACTTGGGTCAACTGTCTGCCCTATGGTCCTTTTATTCAAAGTCTCCAAGGCTAAAACTTGGTACAGTCCACTAAAGCCAGGTGGTTTAAGATTTTGGCTGTGCATTAGTTTAGGCAGGAAAAGTTGATTACATGGGAACGCAAGGCAATTAATGTTGGTTGTTAGACTGTCTTCTTAAAGACAGATTTAACACACAGGCTGAGTCCACAGTAGGATAGCAATCTTAAGTCTTTGTAATATTTCAAGGTGTATTATTAACTCTGGCTGTGAGGTACAGTAAAAGTTCCAGTCTTTAAAAATGTAAAGGCTATTTTATCATAACACATTGCCATAACTCTGTACTTTGCAACACAAATATACTTGCTTTCTTTTTTGCTCCCATGACCCTCACTTGGCCTCTATTTATTCATCAAATGAAGTGTATAGCTTTGATCTGTTCAAAGTGTTCAATCCAGGCCAAATCCTGTTCCAGGGCTGGGCATATAGGCCTGTTGGTGACCTAGCTTCTGCCTTCCAATCCAGCCTCACTGTTGGTCTGCCCCAATACATACCAATTGGAATGATGGCACCACCATATTAAGTCCATGTTTTTCTTACTGTTGGCAAATGTTCCTTTGTTTTATGAGTGCCTGCCCTGCTCCTGGAGACTTGGAGGATGCCCTTGGTGTAGGAAGGACTTGTTCCTCTGTAGCTTCCTGGCACTAGGACCAACCCCAGCTGTAGCGTCTGTCACCCTGGCATTGTTATTCATCATTCACTTGTCTGGCTCTCCTAGTAGATCCCAAACTGCTAAACCTTGGAGCTTTACTTCACTGTGATCTCCTCTCTTGGGGCCCAACATAGAACAGGGACAATGTTGAATACCTGTTTTGAACAAGAACTAGCAGAAACACCCTCCACCTGCCCCCACCCTTCCTGTAGGGTGATTGTTCCAGAGCTCTGATGTGACTGCGGGGGACCGGTGCTAAGTCTGGGCTCCATGCTCTGGCAACTGAATCGCTAGCTGGGGTCCACAGTCAAAGCTTTCCAGCCCCCCTCTGCCTGAGTCCTAAGGCCTCACACCTGTCTGGTAGCTCCTCTGGGAGAACGATAGATGCTTACAAATTTAACTGCAAAAATATTTATGTGGCGATTTATCACATGCTGACACCTACATTTTCATATATAAATTATACATTATACTCATTTGGGTTTCTGGTGCAGAAGATTCTTTTTCTGGGTAATTAGATTTGTATTTATAAAGAATAGAAAAGAGGAGGAGATTACTGAGGAATGTATGCCTCCTAGGCCAAAGTCCCATTCCGTTTTCAGTCCATGATCTCCTCAGTGCTGCCCCCTGGGAAGTGCTTGGGCCTGACTCTGGAGAATTCTTGACAAGGGACTGGCTGTGCCCCAGGAACCAAAAACTTTTTGCTGGAGGGTTGAGAGTGCATAGTGCCTGATTCCTGTCCTGGAATCGTGACAAGGGGTCTTGAAGACCCTACACCCTGTGTGTCAACTTTGTTCAGGTACAATCCTGAAGGCTCCCTATGGTCCTACTTCAGGTGAGAGTGCTGAGCCTTACAGAACAGATGCAATACAGCCAATGGTACCCAGCTACTGAGAAATGAAGTAGAAAATGCATCCCATGACTTTGACTTAGAGTCTCATGGCCGAACTTTTCCTATGCAATTCCTTCTGATCTTGGAAATCCAGTTAAATGAATAATCTATCATTTGTTCTCATGTCTAGCCACTCACCCATACATTCACTTACCCTAAGTGCTGACTTCCATGGGGTTGTATAGTTTTAGCCTTTGAAACTTTGAATAGAAGGATCACAGGGTACACAGTTACACAAGTGCTAGGATCCAGGTATCATGCAAGGCATCTGTATGGTGGCTCAAGGTAGGAACATCCTTCCATTTTTCTTCCCTGCATGCTTGCCTTCCCTTCTCCTAACTTGTTCTGAAGGACACATCTACCGTGCCCCTGTTGAGTGGTCTGCTGGCTTTTTGGGATTTCTCTACAACATTGCTCAAGCATGCTCATCCTGAAATGGTCTCATGTTCTTCTGGCCATTGTCCCTACCCTTTTTATTTTTTGACCCTCTTCTTTTACTGGGAAAATTTTCCAGCTTATAGTAGACCCGAGTTCACCACCTGGGAGCTCAGGTCACACTGTTAGCACTTTAAGTCAAGCTAGGGCAAAATGCCCTGGCCTATCTCTAGTTATGTCTGACAGGGCTGTGAGTAAACCCAGGGATCATGAATCATTCTAGTTCACAAACTTGGCTGACATTCTCAACTCTGGGACACATATGTGAGATCACAGAAACAAGCTAGAATGATAGCTTAGACCTCTGTTACACAGGGGAAGGACAGGACATTGGAATCAGGGATGAGCACACATTGTTTCTCTCATTATGAGACACTTCTGTCTCCACCCTGCTCTTTGGTGCAGTATCCTCACCGTTACAGCAAATGGAGACACCCTACTTGAAAATCTGCTTGTCTACCATCACGTTGACTGTTGATACTTCTGATCCTTTGTTGTTCAATGGAAAATCATATTGTCACATTGAGATAGTGTGACTCTGAGATAGTGTGGCTTAACTATGCACCTGCAAGATTTCATGCAGTTACTCCCACATTCTAAGGTCTGTGCAGATTCCTCTTCCTCTTCATTTCTCTTGGTAACACCAAGTTGGGACTCTTGCTCATGTGCACTTTCCTGGGGGCTAGCATTAAATTCTTAAAGTGTTCAATGGTAAGGAATAACAGCATCTTAGTTCCTCTATTCTTGAGTTGAGTTGGGTTGATGCTGTTTTTTAGGGGGGAGGGTTAGAGACAGGGTTTCTCTGTGTAACAGCACTGTCTACCCTGAAATGTGCTTTGTAGACCAGGCTGTCCTTGAACTCACAGAGACCCATCTGCCTCTGCCTCCCAAGTGCTTAGGATTAAAGGCGTGTGCCACCACACTCGGCTGTTGATACAATTGTAAAAATGTGTATGGCCTGGTGAATGGAACCAGATCACTTGGATTTTATCACCTGGTGGTATAACCTTGGAAATTCATCTTACAATAGGAGTAACAAAGTTTTTCTAACAGTAATGGGTGGAATTCAAAAAATGTCTTTCTTTTAGAAACCTTTAACCACTCTGAGGGCACATAGCATAAGATGCAGGTCACATTCAACTCCCCCTTTTCCTGGTGCGGGAGAATTGTCTGTATTCTGTCAATCATGTTTTAAATAAACGCTGATTGGCCAGGCAGGAGGTGTAGGCAGGAAAACCAGACAGAAAGTGGAAATGATGCAAGGAGAGCAGGAATTCTAGGGAGGAGGATGTTGATTCTTCCCTCTCCTGCCCAGATCACCAAAGCAGCAGAATGTGATCTGCCCCACTGAAAAAAGGTACTGAGCCACATGGCTAACGTAGATCAGAAAAATGGGTTAATCAAGATGTGAGAGTTAGCCAGTAAGAGGCCTGACCTAACGGGCCAATCAGCATTATAACTCATGGAGTCCTCTGTGTTATTTTCTTTGGGGCTAAACAGCTGAGGGTACCAGGCAGAACATAAACCCCAACCAAGCCAGCCCTACATGTTACATTTTCCTGGTGT